GGTCTGGGGTTGTGGCTCAAATGGTAGAGTGCTCGCCTGGCACGCATGAAGCACTGGGTTCGATTCTCAGCACCACATAAAAATAAAATAAAGATATTGTGTCCAACTAAAACTGAATACTAAATATTAAAAAAAAAAAAAAAAAAAAAAAAAACGCAACTTCCAACTCTCATGGTATGGCCCTACCTTGCCCTCCCAAAACAGTCTTATTTTCTGGTTCCTAGAAAGAAAAGTACATGATTAGCTCAGTCTCTTCATTTCCCCCATGTTCATTCCTCCCCCACCTAATTATTTTTTTCCCTTTCTCTTTCCCATACATTAGGGAAGCAGTTGTTAATGCCAAGTGAAAATGTGTTCTAGGTAAAAAACTTTTGGGGGAGGGGGAAGACTGTGTATAATACACTCCTGAATTTACTGGGCAAAGCGAAGAACCACTGAACTGGGATTAATTTTTATTCTTTATACCCTGTTCTAAAAATAGCTTCAATGTTTTGTTTTAATTGAATCTCTGTTATGACTAAGACATCAAGTGATGAGGGCACGAAAAGATGAATAACCATATTTCTGATCTTCAATTAGCTAAATAAACCTGAAAAATGTAATCAAGTAAAAGATATAAAATCCTGACTCACAAAGCATTTTTGCCTAGATTGTCAGTGAACTTACATAGAGGGAAGATCTAAACTGAGTATTCATTTTTCTTAGCATATATATTTGAGTGTTTACAATATGCTAAGCACTGTTCTAGGTGCTGGGAGTATATCAAAAAACAAAACAAGACAAAAACTGCTGCCCTTCTGATAAGGTGACACTGGAATAAAGAGATGAATGAACTTGGTATGCTCACAAACCATGTAAAAAGAAATCTTAGGGAAAGAGTACTCCAGATTTAGTACTTGCATATTCTTGCATTGGAATTATACTTGGCATGTTTAAAAGACCAAGTGAGATTTAGTCAAAGGAAGAAGGGGAAAACAGTAAAAGATCAGGATAAACAAGTAGCAGAGGGCCAGATCATGTAATACCTTCTAGACTTCTATAAAGGCGTTGGTGATTTTTACTTGGGTAACTATTGGAGCATTTTGAGCAAAAGATTGACAGGTGATCTGTAGTTGTAGTTTGGGGTATACACAGTGGAATATTATTAAGCCATAAAAAATAACAAAATTCTGTCGTTGGCAGCAACATGAATGGCACTGGAGAACATTATGTTAAATAAATCAGGCACAGAAAACCAAATATCACACATCGTCACAGATAGGATCTAAAAATTGCTCTGAAAGGAGTAAAGAATAGAGTAATGGGAAGAGCATGGGGGAGTAGGGATAAAGAGAGGATGGCTAGTGAATATGTGGGTACAATTGGATAGGAGGATTAAGCTTAATGAAGTTCTATGGCACATAGGCTAACTATGACAATAATTAACTTACTATTTCAGAATAACCAATAGAATTTTGAATGTTCTCAAAATAAAGCAGTGATATATGTCCGAGGTGATAGATATACCAGTCATTCTAATGTAATCATTGAACATTATGTACATGTATTAAAATGTCACACTATACCCCATAAATATGCATCCCATAAATATTGTACTATGTGTAAATTAAAATATATTTTAAAAGTGAAAATTAAAAAGATTACCTACTATTTCATTCTAAACATGAAATAGAGTGACCTTCAGAGACAATTGGCTGTAAATTAAGAGAAATTATAGTGACTTAGACTAAGGTGGTAATGGTAGAGAAAGTGAATATATCTTTTGATTTGGAGATGGATTAGATGTCAGTTTTGAAAATGAGAGTCAAGGATGGTTTTAGCAACTCAAAGAAATGAAGTTTGTCATTTTCTGAGTAAAAAAATAACTAAAAAAAAACCCCAGTTTTGGTTGGTGAAAAGATCAGAATTTAGGTTTTGAACATGCTAAGTTTGAGGTGTCTATTAGTTATTCTAGTAGAGATGTTCTGTAGGCAGTTGGAAAGAGTTGAGAGAAGACAGAGCTGGATGTTAAAATTTGGACTAAATATGTTCATAGTAGACGTATAAAGTCACAAGATTAGATGACATTGCCTAGGAAATAAGCATAGCTAGAGAAAAGAAGACATCTAATTTGCCCTTTTGGGAAATAAATTAACAAAGTCATCATAAAATAAAATGTTATAATATCTAACAATAGAAAAAATTTAAAACTTCTGTCATCACTTCTCAAGCTTTGATGTGCATTTGAATCATTTTGTTAAAAGGAACAAAGTGAAGCCAGGCACAGTGGCACATGCCTATTATTCCAGCAACTCAGGAGGCCAAGGCAGATTGCAAATTCGAAGCCAACCCCAGCAATTTAGCAGGGTATTCAGTAATTTAGCAAGAATGTATCTCAAAATAAACAGGTGATGGGGATATAGCTCATTGGTTAAGCCCTGCTCTCAGCTCAAGCCCTGGTACCAAAAAAAAAAAGGCCAAATGTAGGGGCTGGGGATGTGGCTCAAGAGGTAGCGCGCTCGCCTGGCATGCGTGTGGCCCGGGTTCGATCCTCAGCGCCACATACAAACAAAGATGTTGTGTCTGCCTAGAACTGAAAAATAAATATTAAAAAATTCTCTCTCTCTCTCTCTCTCTCTCTCTCTCTCTCTCTCTCTTTAAAAAAAAAAAAAAAAGGCCAAATGTAAAACAACTGAAAGACTATAATATTTGTAGAAAAATAAGGATTACCATCCAGAATAAAGAGTATCCATAGATAAGAAATTAACCAACAAGAAAAAACAACCCTGTAGAACAAAGGGGAGTACAATATAGAGAATTTTCTAACAACACGGGTGGCCAGTAACACCCAACTTTCTAGAAAATGCAAATTAAAACAACCCAAACTCCTTATGTCCCTTTTAGAAAGTTTGTTAATGCCTAATGTTGGTAAGGTTTGTGGAGAAAAGGGGAGGGCTCATACCATGTAAATAGGAGTATAGCTTTTGACATTTCTTTTGAGAGACATTTGGCATATTTATTAAAATTTTAAATATATGGGGTAGGGGTTGTGGCTCAGCGTTGGAATGCTTGCTTAACCTGTGTGAGGACCTGTGTTCAATTCCCAGGACTGAAAAAGGAAGAAAGGGAGGGCGGGAGTAGAAAAGAAATAGGAAGGAGGGGGAAAAAAAACCCTTCTATCCATGAATCCTTTACCTAAATATTGAAGACTTGCATCTTTGCCCAGAAAGGCAGTTCAGAACTATTCATTGAAGCATTGAGGTTGATAAAAATGGAATAACATAAATGTACTCTAGTATGGGAATTATTAATTATTAAAGGATTTTTAAACCCTCTACTCATTTATTTCCGTTTGTACTTTTTAAAAAATTTTTAAATATTTATTTATTTATTTATTCTTTTTTTAGGTATAGTACTTTTTTAATTTTAAATGAGGTCTCAATATATTGCCTGGGCTGGCCTCAAATTCCTGGGCTCAAGTGATCCTCCTGCCTCAGCCTCCTGAGTAGTTGAGACTGCAGGTGCACACCATCTCTCCTGGCATCACATCTTTTCATTATAACTTTAATAGTTTAAAAGGCCATAATTTCTACTGAGTATTGCATTTATAATGTTAAATACACTTTTGGGTCACCTTAAAAACTTCAGATTGAAATGTTTGGTTTATACATAAGACTGCCACATAATTTGCAAGCCAGTTCTCTCTGTGAAACTAGATAAATCGGACAACATCGTTCATCAAGAAAAAAGTTCTGACCCTTTTATGTTATCTTAAAACAAATGTGTTGCCGGGCACAGTGACGCACACTTGTAATCCCAGCGGCTCAGGAGGCTGAGACAGGAGGATTGCAAGGGCACTAAGCAACTCAGTGAGACCCTGTCTCAAAATAAAATATAAAATAGGGCTGGGAATGTGGCTCAATAGTTGAGTGCCCCTGAGTTCATTCCCCAGTACCCCCACCACCAACCCCCCAAAATATGTTAATATGTGTCTTTGTTATAACTACTTAGACTTCTGAATTCTGTGCTGAATGGCTAGATAATGAATAAGACTTGGGACCTTACAGAAATCCATTTCATTGATAAAACAGGTGTTTCCCTTAATTTTTATCTTTTCCCCCTTTTCAATTTCCCCTCTTTTAATGATCTATTTATGAGATACTTTGGAGTTTTTACATCTCAGAGTAGTGCATTTTAGCAGTATTTGAGGTGGATAAGAACTTTACCTTTCTTTTAAATGATGATTTTAATAGGGGAGGTGGGCAAGAAGAACTAGTTCTGCTTTTTTTGTGTTTTTTTGTTTTTTAAGATGTAATTTTGTTTTAGTTTTCAGTGGACACAACATCTTTATTTTATTTGTATGTGGTGCTGAGGATCGAACCCAGTGCCCCGCGCATGCCAGGCGAGCGCGCTACCACTTGAGCCACATCCCTAGCCCATTGGTTTGTGTTTTGAAGGAGGTGGTTAGTGTGTGTGCTTTGTTTTGTTTTGTTTTTGCAGTTCTGGGAATGGAACTCAGCGCCTCATGCATACTAGGCCACCAGTGTCACTGAATTACATCCCCAGCCCAGAATTAGTCCTTAAGCAAATCAGTTAAGGAGAGTACAGTACAGAGGGAAACCGAGGATCTGGAAATTGATTTTCTTAAAATTATCATGTTCACCTCACCCCTGGTTACCATTGAAGTGTGGAGATCATTGAAATTAGAATGTAGAAAGATTATAAAATGAACATTTATTCCGCCATTAAGGAGGAGTAAAATAGAGGTGTACTAATGTGGGAAGAATTTTGAGGCATTGTTATTTAGTGGGAAAAATGTCAAAATGTTTTATATAATATTTATGTGTATTTGTATGTTTTATATACATATGTATTTGTTTTCTACATGAGTCAAAAGGGAACATTAAAGGTTACATTCCAACCCTAAACATTTACATTTACCTTTTTGATGGAGGGCCTGGGATATACTAAATGATCTTTATTTATCTTTATTCTTTTAAAATATATATATATTTTTTTAGGTGTGGAATATCAAACAAATGATTAAGTTGACACAGGAACATATAGAGGCCCTACTGGACAAATTCGGTGGGGAGCATAATCCACCATCAATATACCTGGAGGTAAGCTTTTGAGTATCATATTTGTAGTAATTTTTTAAAGGAAAAATAAATAAATTTGTAAAAAGTTTTGTAGTGTTGATCTTGATTCTTGTAGGGTCTGGGATTAGAAATAGATACTGGAAGAGAGAATTAGCTTTGACTTTATTATAGTCTTAGTCTTGTTTCACTTGTTAAAATATACATGCACTATTTTATAATTTAGAAAATGTCAAAAGTAAGGAGGAAGTCCTCTTTAAACTTTAAAATATTTCTCTGAATAAAGAATTTTTAAAAGAGAGAAAGCACACTGTTTTTGTTGTCAACAGAACTAGTGACCATATTGGAAAATGAGGCAATTTTGTAAAATATCTTCTCTAGAATAAGTGCCCCTACAATTGGTTTTTCTTCCTCATAGGAAAAAAAAAAAAAAAATTGTATCATCTTGAAATAGCCCAACATTGCTTTAGCTTTTTTTGTTTAATAGTTCCTTGAAGTTTGTGTCAAGACTTGATCATGATTGTAAATTTATATAGAGAGTTAGTCGTTGTGTTAAGTCTTAATCCTGTGAAATAATAGGTACTATTGTAATCACAGATAAGCCTTCTTGACCTTAGTTTCCTTCTGGAAATCAGCCAGCTTCCATAGTGAGCCAGCTGTTGTGGAATCTAGGCACTCAGGTTCTACAGTACCCAGTGCACACCATTGCTCTCCACTGCCTTTCTCTGTGAAAGCTACTTCACAGTAGTACTATATGACTAGTGATTCAGCTGTAATCACTAGTCATATAGGAAGATAACTCTAAATGATAAATGATTAGATTACCATTTGGCTCCAAATGGCAGGGATTTTAAAGCATAGATTGAAAGACTCCAAATAAATTTCTAATTTAGTACTATAATTGCTTTTTTAAAGAAAAACCTTCATTATTTCATGAGAAAGTGCATTTCTGAAATAAATCTTAGAATGGAGGGCTGTAGCAGTGATAGAGCCGTGGCCTAGCATACGCAAGTCCTGTGTTCAATCCCCAGCACCACCTGCCACCACCCTCAACCCCAGTCTAAACAGGGTAAAATAAATGTTGGAAGTTTGGATACCAATCAGCTAATAAACTGTTCTATTCTTTTCCTCCTATTCCTATGGCTTATCCCCCATCACACTACTAGTTAGGATCAATGGTAGGACTAGAATTCTTATCTGGATACTAGTTACTTTTTCTAATATCTCATGCTATCCCTTTTACTTGGATGACTTTGGGTGCCAAGCAGAGGAGTAATGAAGATATAAATAGTCCTAGTGAAACCGATAATTCTTTGTTAATCAGAGTTAGACTATAAGCAGCAGTTTGCCTCACACCCATTTCTATGTCTTGGGGACTTTCCCCCCATGCTCAAATATAATACATTTGCAGCAGTAACCGTGTCTTTCAATAGTAGTGATTCACCTCCTCCTCCACACACATACTCTTTAAGACTTTTTAATATTTAAAGACTGATCATTAATAGCAACAAAACTTTGACTTAATGTGTGCCCAGTACTGTGTTAAATGTATTTGTTAGTTTAATCCTTATCATTACTTTAGGCTAGATGCTAGGTGGTAGGTATTTTTGTTATCCCCATTTTACAGGTGAATAAACAAAGCTTATGGTGACTTACCCAAGGTGACACTGCTAATAAAGAGGGCAATTATCTAATGCAGAAGTCTGTGGTCTTATTCTACCTTTGTCATGCCTTTGTGCCCCTCCACCCTTACCCATAGTTGGGCTAAATAATTCTAATTTCTTCAACCATTGTTCTTGACATGATTTGTGGATATACTAGGTATATTTTATTTGGTTGGTTTCTCTTTAGAATTAGACACATAAATTTGGGTAATATATTCAAATTATATGTCAGATCATAACTCAAGGGTTATGACATTACCATGTGGTAAAGTAACAGATTCTTATACTATACAATTTTTAGCTATATTTAGTGTTTATGAAAATATGTGTATGTATGTGTATATATATATATACACATATATACACAGGCATACATAAAGGGCCATAAAATACAATGATTAACTTGAGCCAGTGAGGTCACACAGACCCCACTTTTTTAATCCCATTCGGACCTTAGTTCCTGCAGACAGTTTACCTAGTCTCCCTGTGTCCTACCTCATAAAATGAGAATAAGATTACACATGTAATTTAAGGATTTGAGTTTTATGGAGTTTCTGAAAATACAGTCCTGCACAAGTAGTTGGTTCATTCATTCAACAGATACTTATTGGGTGCCTCCTAACATTTGCACGGTAATGGTAGCACAACACTATGAATGCCCCTGGGGATATAGAAATTTTTTAAAAAGGTCCTAAATCTCTGCCTTAAACTATCTGTGCTTGAGTCAGGGAAGAGAGGTACATACAATGAACATATAAATGAGCTAGAACATTGTACTTAACAACATTTAATGTACTGTGAAGAGGACCCTGGCTAGAGATTATAGAATTCTTGCCTATGGAAAACTGACCAGTCCAAGAGAAAAGACTTGTATTTGAAGGCCCTTCAGTGTAAAACCAAATCTACACCCACCATTCTACAGGTTTCTAATCCCGCACTTAAGCAGTCCTTAATATGTTTTCTTTTTTTCCTTTTCTTGGGGTGAAATACCCAGAAAATTTACCATTTTAACCACTTTTAGGTATAGAATTCTGTGATTTTAGTGCATTCATAGTGTTGTGCTACCATTACCACATTACCGTTATTTATCTCCAGAAGATTTTTTTTAAACACAGAACAGATTGGTAATTTATTTTCATTCACTTGATTTATTAGAGAAAGATTCTTAAGAATATTGAAGACTGGTGTGTGTGTTAGCACACACCTATAATTCCAGCAGCTCAGAAAGCTGAAACTAGAGAATTGCGAGTTCAAAGCCAGCCTCAGCAAAAGCAAGGCGCTAAGCGACTCAGTGAGTCCCTGTCTCTAAATAAATTACAGAATGGGGCTGGTGATAGATATGGCCCCTGAGTTCAATCCCCGGTACTCCACCCACAATGAAAAGAATATTGAAGACCTAAATAAATAAGCAAATTACATTTTAGTTCCATCTGATATGAAAATCTGCCTGTGACTTGGAAACAAGAAAATGTACCTTATTACAAGTATAATGACCACTCATAAGACTTAATTATAGGGCTGGGGTTGTGGCTCAGCGGTAGAACGCTTGCCTAGCACATGTTGGGGCCCTGTATTCCATCCTCAGCACCACATAAAAATAAATAAATAAAGGTAATGTGTCCAACTACAACTAAAAATATTTTTTAAAAAGGCCTTGGGGCTGGGATTGTGGCTCAGTGTTAGAGCGCTTGCCTAGCATGCATGAGGCACTGGGTGATTCTCACCACCACATACAAATAAATAAAATAAAGGTCAATCAACAACTTAAAAAAATTTTTTTAAAAATAAGACTTAATTATATATAAAGGATGCAAAAAAAAGGACCATCAATACATGTGAAAAAGAAGAAATAATATACAGCATTTTTGGATGACAGCCCATGCAGAAATAATGACTAAATTCTGTAGAAGATCTTTATCATACCAAACTGAAACTTTTTTAAATATTTATTTTTATATCTTTACTTCATTTGTTTATTTTTATGTGGTGCTGAGGATCTAACCCAGGGCCTCGCGCATGCTAGGTGAGCGCTCTACCACTGAGCCACAGCCCCAGCCCCCAAACTGAAACTTTTTATCCATTAACCACTAACTCCCTATTTCTCTCCTTCCAGTCTGTAGCAACCAACTTTCTCCTGTTTATATGAATTTTAATACTATGGTGGAATCATACAATATTTGTCCTTTTGTGACTGGCTTGTTTCACTTAGCATAATGTCTTCATGATTTATCCCTGCTACAGCATGAATAATGCATGCTTAAAAATTCCCTTCCTTTTGAAGTCTCAATAATATTCCATTATGTGTGTGTGTGTGTGTGTGTGCATGCGTGCGTGTGCGCGCGCACGCGCCACATTTTGTTTAGCCATTCATTTGTCAGTGGACACTTGGGTTGCTTTTGTTGTTATGAAGAATGCTGCTGTGAACATGGGTATAAAAATAACTGAATGCTTTTTAGTTGTTTTGGAAATATATCAATAAATAGAATTGCAGGATTATATGATAATTATATTTAAGTTTTTTAAAAGAAATTATCATACCTTTTTACATAGTGCTTGCACTGCCTTACCTTCTTTTTTTGTTTTTATTTGTTCTTTTTAGTTATACATGACAGTAGAGTGTATTTTGAGATATCATATATACATGAAATATAAATTCCCATTCTTTTGGTTGTACATGATGTGGAGTTACACTGATCTTGTATTCATAGGGAACACATAGGAAAGCTATATGTTCAATTCATTCTCCTGTCTTTCCCCATTCCCATCCCTTCTCCATCTGCATATCAGAGAGAAAATTGACCCTTTGGGTTTTGGGGCTTATTTCACTTAGCATGATAGTCTCCAATTCCATCCATTTACCAGCAAATGCCGTAATTTCATTCTTCCTTATGGCTAAGTAATATTCTATTGTGTACATGTATCACATTTTCTTTATCTATTCTTCTGTTGAAGGACACCCGGTTCCGTAGCTTAGCTATTGTGAATTGAGCTGCTATGAACATTGATGTCCACGTCACTATAGTATGCTGATTTTAAGTCCTTTGGGTATTTGCTGAGAAGTAGGATAACGGATCAAATGGTGGTTTCATTCCAGATTTTCTGAGGAATCTCAGTACTGCTTTCCAAATTGGTGGGGCTGCACCAATTTGCAGTCCCACCAGCAATGTGTGAATGTACCTTTTTCCCCACATCCTCGCCAACATTTACTGTTCCTTATATTCTCAATAATTGCCATTCTGACTGGAGTGAGGTGAAATCTTGATGCAGTTTTAATTTGGATTTCTCTAATTACTAGTGATGTTAAACATTTTTTCATATATTTGTTGGCCATTTATATGTCTTCTGTGAAGTGTCAGTTCA